CGCGCAGCAGTTGTGCAAATAGAGTCAAATTTTGGACGACAGCAGATATATGGTAGAGATAAATACATATAATAAAGGCAGAAAAATATAAAATAAAAACAAAACTGTAACTGACAAGCGGTTTGCATTATCAAAAAAGCTCTGTTTGTTACTAATTTCTTGCCATTTGTTTTTTTTTTTCTTGGCAAATAACAAGCGTTTATGACTAACTCAGCCAAAGATGTCATTGAAGCGCTCCAGCTACCAACTTAGTATTTAGCTCGTTTGCTGCTTTCACCAGAGCTATACTGCTAGTTAAGAAAGCCATGCTCTTAATTAAGTGCTCATCGAGGAATTCGGCAAAAAAAAGAAGATAAAAATGGCAAACTCAATAATTTCGTTACAAGAAATATTTTGGGTTAGTTTTGAGAAATCAAAGTGAACTTAAAATTAACTTAAAAGTCTTTAGACTTTGTTTCAATTTTAAATCCACTTTGATTTTAGCCGAAGTGTAGGCAGACGACTCGATGTTATAGGTACATATACTATATCTACTAATAATCGGCTGTCAGAGCACTTGTAAGTCATAGAAGCTAGCTTGGTAGGTAGAGTTGTCTTAAGTTTATTATAAGCCTAATGTAGCCTGAATATTTTATATAGCTGCTGTAGGAAGGATCGGTGTAAATATCACTCTTAAACACTGTTGAGAAAATGTATTTATGAGCTTTTTATAGTACCTCACTATAGTATAAGAAAAGTCATCTAAGAATTTGCTAACTATAAGAGAGTAATCAGTTCAAGAAAAAAAATCTTCGTACTTAAAACTGCTAAATTTATTTCGGTATTGTAATTAAATGTGATATTTATAATAATCTCAAATTTGATAAAAAACGGTTAGCTATGTGATATAGCTGGCATAGAAATGATTAGTACGATGAAAAGTATGATTATGACTTTAATGTTCTACATGAGTCTGAATTTGATTAGAATTTGCTCAAATTTGGTAAGAAAACTCTTTTCTTTTAAAAGTCGGAGAAAAAAGTAAGCCAAAAGAGATATTAAAGAGTACTTATAATTTATACAGATTTTTGGTTGATTTCTGCTGACTTGGATGTTTGCTGAAAAGTGATTTATTTGAAAAGATGTCTCTTCAAATGGGGAACAAATGTTGAAGTGAACTTTAAATGCTTGTGAAGGCCACTCAAATAATACTGAATTGTTGTGGAAAATATTAATTATTTATGAGCAATCACACTTATAAATTTGAAGCAATTGTATGTTAAAATTAAGAATAGCCTTCTCTACTTTATAATATTCTCCATTTCCCCGGTTTTTCAAGCATTTCTTGGAGTTGGAATGCAGCTCAACTAATAAGCATTGAAGAGTCATAGGAATCAAAGGGCAGGGTATTCAAGCTTCGTTAAATGTGACAAGTGAGGTTTTCTCTGAACGCTTTTGTTTTGTGTTGTGTTGGCAAAATGTTTATGCATTTGATTAGACGGCGGTCGATTTGAATTAATTTATATTTGAAACGCCAGTCGGCATAAATTTGCTTTCATTTTGTTTTCTGGTACTTTGCGTGGGTGGGCCAGCATAAATACACGTATATACTTGTACATATATATGTATATGAAGTATATTATGTGCATGTAGGTGCAACAATGTGAGACACATTTGTAAATCGTTTGGATCGTTGGCAGTGCTTTGACACGATTGTGACGACTGTGACGATTGTGAGAGAGTCGAACAAGATGGGGGCATAAAGTTATGCATGTTTTGTGCATGCCACATGCCACATGGCACATGCAAATCGAAGACAGGAAATTATTACAACTTTTTAGCTGCGCTTCTGCTGTCGACATCAGCGTCAGCGTCCACGTCAACGTCGCTGCCGCATTTCACCAGCGCGTTTGGCTCGTTTTGGCCATGTTGTGGCTGGTTTCTTTTGCTTTTCAATTCATTAGCATTACATGGCTTCCGTATTTGGCGCCGCTGTCTAAATGAAGTTGCCACAGACCAACAGCGATTGTGCCTCCGTTTGTTTGTTGCTTTTGTTATTGGGTCACACACTAGAGGCATAGGCCTCTAGGCTGTCAGCGGTCGGTGGTCGGCGTTCGACTGCCGGCCGGTTCTAGTGCGTTGGATATACATACATATTTGGATAATGCCAGCAAATTTACAGTTGACCAGTTGTTGAGCCGGCCTGCAATTAAAAGCTCATAAACGACATTTGCAACTGTAAATATGCTAAATCAGCTCGAATATACTCGTATATACTCGTAGTATGAGCATGACGGACAGACGCTACGAAGTTTTAATTGACAACACAACTCAAGTAACAAAATGCCAGACTGCCTGCACTGGCTGGGAACGCTCTCGAGTTTATTGTCGCGTCTTGCCGGCATTTTCGTTCTTCTTCTACTTCTACTTCTTGTTGTTGTTGTTGCTGCTTACGCAAGCGCAGTAGAACGCAAGGTATTGGAATGTGGGCGCCAAGGTGCTTAACGCATTGGCTTATCAGCGGCTTAGCGCTTTTCCACGACTTTATTTCGCTCTGCTATCAAATGTTCATTAAATGGGCCACGCGGCCATGCAATGAGGAAGCGGAAGGCTTTTTGATGTGGTTTCCCCCATCGGCCCGTCCCCTCCCCCCTTAACCCACCGCCCACACGCAGCCACTCTAGCACCTTTCAAACGTTCAAACTTCTGGTAAGCGTTAAGTCAAGCGTCTGGTTGGCTGGCCAGATCGCTTGATCTTGGCGGTTTGTCTTTGGTTACACACGGGTCGTATGTGTAATGCTTCTATGTGCGAACAGCAGGTTGTTGCTAAATATAGAAACGATAGATCTGTGCGAGAAATACTCAAGCTATAGAAATGACATGTAAGTTATGTTGAAATCCAATATTTTTCATCGAATAGGAATTATATTGTAGGATGCAGTTATGCTTATTGGCAAACAATTGATCTTGGACTAATCGATAGTTAATTACTTGCATTATTGTAAGCAATATTTATCGACTCTCAAATGAAATAATGTGCCTGTATGTGTCTTTTCTGACAGAAATACATTGAATAATTATAAGCGATGAAATTATAAGTGGAGTAACATAGGAAAATAAATTTAATCTAAAGTAATCGATAGCTGCGTTGATAGAATAACGGCATACGATATATATATATATATATATATATATATATATATATATATATATATATATATATAAGTATACCAGGATTAAGGCTGGCTATAAATTAACATGACAATTAAGGATTAATTCTTAGTTACAAAAATATTAATAAATAAATATAGGTATACACGTACGTACAGTTTCTGGTAAAAAAAAATATCGATCAATAACTATCGTATAATAATTGTCTACCAAGAACAATTTGATATTTAAAAAAGAAATTAATATAAAGTGACAAACCTGTTCATAAATAGTACGTACTAATGAGATGGAAAAGCCATTTAAACAATATGAGCAATCGATAGATTCGATGGACTTAACAAATTCCTATGAACTGTACTATTTATCGTTTAAAAAACTTGTTCAAATCGCTGATTAATGCGTTACAAGTATAGCTTGAAAACACTTAAACGCATATTAACTATTTGTGAATGTTTGAAATCGAGCGCATATAAAATATCGATCTACTCCTATCACAAAGATTAATGGATTTCAAACATGCCACAGATACGAGTACACGTATGCTGACGACTGTGCACGCCTTTCGTTCTAACAGGTTCAGGTTCTGTTTTTATCTTGTTCTCAACGTAACTTCCTTAAGTCTGTGGGCGCAACCTGAGCCAAGACCTCACCTACTATGTACGAGCATGTATGTGTGAGTGTGTGTGTGTGTGTATGCCAAACGCATTTGAAATCAGCATTAGTTTTTCATTTTAATTGCAAGTACGATATGTGTTTCAAATGTAATTAATTCGCATTGCACCAAAAACGAAAAATATATAATAATAAATAGAAATAAAGAAAAAACTGCCTCACCTTCACAACGAGCGTTGGCTTAACATATTGCCTGCCCCCTTCTGAGTGGACCAACTAACTAGCTAACAGCCTAACTGGCTGAATAGCTGGCTCACTGACTGACTGGCTGGCTGGCTGCCTGGCTATTTTATGCAATAAGAAATACAAGAAAAAAAACACATAAAATGCGACAACTTTTGAACCACTTGTCGGGCCGAAGGAGATGCTCGAGGCTGGAGCTGTGTCTCTGTCTATGCCTGGAGGTATGACTGTGTCACTGTCCGTGTCCGATCTTTTTGGCTCGTTTTTGGGTGTCAATTTCAAGTGGCAAGCGCAAAACGTTGTGGCATTGCATTGCGTAAGGCTGCCAACGCACATGACGCACGTTTACATACTCGTACATATAGGCATACTTACAGGTGAGTAGTATCTAAGCAATAAGTCAATAAATTTGATGACTTATCGCCACTTGTGCCTTTCTGCCGATTTCGCTTTAGTGGGCCAAATGGAGTGCGCCGTTGCATGCTGATGAAGTGCGGAACGGAACGGAACGAATCGGTGCGATACCAACCGAACCGGAGCTGTCAGGCGGCCAGTTTGTCTTTTGGTCAATCGGTCTGACTGTCTGTCTGTCTGTTTGTCTGTCTGTTTGTCTGTCACGCGTGCTCATAACATTAACGGCATTTTAAATGCCCGCTGCGCCGCTCACCAGCGAGCGCTTCCCCAAGAAGTTTGTTGCCTAAGTCATTATCTGTGACGTCAACTACCGCAATCTGTGCTAGAATTCGGTCGTGGCTTTCGGCTTTCGGCTTTCTCCGCTGCATTTTGCATAGTTGCATAAGCATCTAACCAGCCATCTAGCCATCTAACTGAAGTAAGCCGGCCAACGAGCCTGAGGTTAACTGGTTCTCTCAACCAAGCAGCCAACCAACAAGCCGACATCGTCAACAAGTTATTGAGTTGTATACTCGTACATTTTTATTTATGACGTAATCCGTTTAACGACTATTTTGGGAAATTTAACGGTTGACACTCACCGCAACACACTCGTTATCATCAATATCAATCGGTTCTATATTTCCATCGGACATCATTGACAAATTGCTGTGGCTTTCTGAAACTTTCTGCATCTCTCTCTCTGTCTCTCTCCCTATGTCTCTGACTGTGTGTTTGTGTCGTGTGGAAGAACTCTCGAGAATTTTGGATAATTGCACAGAATTTTTGATTTTGTTTTGTTTGTTTTTTTTTGTTGTTGTTGCAAAATATTGTTTTGTTTGAAGCTGATTTCTTTTTATTACTTTTTGACTTTTAACACCCAGGCGCCGAACTGAACCGAACTGACCTGACCAGAGCTGAGCTGAGCTGAGCCGAGCTGAGCGGAGCGGAGCTGAAGCGAACTGTATTGGTGGGTTGGCCATTGAAGTGCACTTCAATCTGTGCTGCAATCGCTCATAAATACTCGAATGCTCGTCCATACATAAATTAAACGGCAATTGCCCAACTCTCACCCTACTTTTACACACCGGCGCACATTTCTACACTCTTCTTTTTATTTTTTGTTTTGTTTTGTTTTTAACCGCTCGATGTACTCGCACATACTTGTACATACGTGTATTGTAGTATGTGGGCAACGAAAATTATTAATTAATTATTGTTGCATACAACAGCTGCATAAAATTTGTTAGACACCACCATCACCACCACATTGGCCACATTGGCCACATTGGCCACCTCGTCCACCACTTGTCCGTCCACTGTCCAGGCCAGCGTCTGTATTCGTTTATTATGCACAACGCAACATTTCGTCAGTCGTTCAATTGAAGCTCATTGGAGCCCAGGCATCGCCACTTGTGCACAAACAAACGTTAGGACAGACAGATAGACAGACAGTCGGGCATTCGGACAAACATACAGACAGACAGACAGACAAATAATTTGAAGCACATTTCACTTTCATTTTGTAGTCGTTGGTCGCCGCAAATGAAATGCCTTGCATAGTTGCGCAGATTTCTGATCGGCGAGCTCTATTCAAAGAAAAACGGGCGCAAATTTTTTAAACACCACTTTCAATTTGTTTATGACTAGCTGCCAATTTTGAATACAAATCAACTTTTGCAAAGAGAATTTACCAACTCATTGCTATTCTCATTACGAGCATTGCATTGCATTCACATTCTCTCTGTCTCTATGCATTCCCCCAAGTTCAGCGGCAGTTTTCCCTTTTAAGTGTCAGGCCTGGCCTGGCCTGGTCTGATCTAGAGAAGCCTTAGAAATGGCTAAATGCAAGTTGGGGCAAGGCTACAATACTGCAAGACTTCACGGTTGTCTGTCTAGTGGGCTGATTGGTTTTGGAAACTCAAGAACCTGTCAAAGCAGCCTAGACAGCATACAGACAGACTTGTGACAAAGAAGGGATGCTTCCCACCAGTGGGTACAAAATTATTTAAAAAAAATATACGTATTTCAAATTAGGCAGCCATTGCAGCTTTGAAGCATATGCTGTCCAGATCGGCTGGGCAGAAATCCCTATCAATTTGCAAAAAGTGCCTAATTAAAGAACGTTGTTTTAAATCTTTCTGCAAACGCAATTTGCAAGAAATTGCTGGAAAAGTTATATCTTATGTTTGTTTCGTATTTATAATGCTTTTATTTTATTGCATTGATAATTATGATTTAATACGGCTTGTCTTTAGAATATTTAAGTACTAATAGGCATTCTAATTGGTTTTATCCGATACTATGAGTTAGTCAGGTTCGGCTCTACTTAATGGCTTATTTAGTTTCGCATATTTCTAGCTTTTTTAAATTTTTAAACACAAATCTTGCAACTATGACCCACCGGGTCAGTGATTCTCCACCTTTCAGCTCTCAATTACAGTTTAATATTTTATTATTTAAGTATTTTAATTTTAATTTATTATTATTTGTATTTAATGTAATTGTTTTTAATTTTTTATTGTTATTTCCTCATCTCTATTTCTTTTTTGTCTCAGAAGACTCTTTGCTGTGAATCGGGTATAGCTGGCCGTTTGGCAAATAAAATCCCTCCACCCAGTCGGATTCGTTATTAGATATTTTTGTAATTATTAAGTTTTATTTAGTTTAAGTTATCTTTTGTATTGATTTATTTTTTTACATCGACAAGAAAATAACTAGCTTTGAAGGTGGTTCATTTCTCCCTTGAAGAAAGCCCCATTGAAACACATTCTGTTCTGTTTCTTTCTTTCTTTCATTTTAGTTGCACTTTGAAATGAAAACCCATTAAGCTTATCACTTAATTAATATCCATATATAAACAATTTCCGATTTATAAATTGTTTTGTTTTCTCTTGCATCTAAAATAAAATTTATAAGTTTCATTTAAAAATATATTTTATTCGAATTGAACGTTGCTACAGTTCCTAGAATTTTCCCCCAAATCCAGCAATATTCATTGAAACCATTTCTCAATTAAGTAATTACTATAAACGTATATAAACGTTTAGTTGGATTACAAAACTGATTTCTTTCTTTTAGCTGGAGTCCAAATTATTGCCTATAATGCCTAAAACATGATCAATTAATGAACCAAAGACAAACTCTAGAGGTATTTGAGTGAACTTTACTGTTGGGAAATCCGATTAACGCTTATAATTTTGCAAAAAGTGCAGTCACCTTTATGCAAATGACTGTTTCGCTGAACATAAAAGAAACCTTATACAATGCAAGTGATTTATGTGATCATCATCATTATTGGCAAATCTATCTGCATACGAGTATGTCTGTGTATGTGTATGTGTGTGTGTGTGTGTGTGTGTGATGTGCAAACATCCATCATTAGTTGTCATCCATCCATCCACTCAGGTGCCGTAATGAAAACTCTATGCAGTCTTGCAAATAACTCACCGTATTGATCTTCTCCATGAGCACACTCATTTGGTTTTTGGCAGACATATTTCCCAGCTAGTGGCGGCCTAAAGCGCGCTTCGTATTCTACACATAGAAGACTTGAGAAAAACTGCTAGATTGCGAACTCTAGATGCCACTTCAAGCTGTCACCAAAGGGCACATAACAAGTTGTGCCGATTCCTTGATTAGAAACTGTTTACAGGTCTGCGCCAGCAATCAACACACACATGGCTGGGCCATTGAAAATGCATTTAGAAGCGGTATGTAGGTTTTTCCTTTTATTTGATTATTTTTACTTTTCTCGTATCACTCGATGCATTGAAACAAAAATTTATAAAAAAAAAGGTAATTTCAACAAAACGCAGCAGTTTCGCACACAATTAATTGTTCATTCAATTCGAGAGAAAAACACGCGCGCGCATTTTTCCCTATTTTGTTAATTTTTTGAAAACCTCGTCGCTACTCGAATTTGATGGCAGCGCTCGCGTGCGTTCTTATCGGCGGCTCGAAACGCATTGAACGCTCAAGACGTGCCCACGGCAGCGGCAAGCTTAAGTTGGCCAAAACCACGACTGCGACTGCGACTACGACGATGACGTTGACGATGTTGGTCGCGCGACTGCGACCCGAAGAAGTTGGCCAAGACGACAAGACAAAGTTGCTGCGACAGGTGCTGTAGCCGGTGCCGAGTGTGGGCGCGCTTACAAGAGACTGAGAGAGTCACAGCAGAGCGAGAGAGAGAGAGAGAGCGAACTGAGTGGCTAACTGAATGCGAGCAACGCCAGTTGTATCCAAAGCGTTTATGCCAGGCAGCTGGCAACCGCAAATTTGAAATCAAGAAATCAGATTCTCTTATTTCTTGAATTGGCAGAAAAGCACCGATTCTTCAGCATTCAGTTGGCCCTTAAAAATTGTAGATACCCTACAAAGAAAAGCTTTGGTCAAACGATTTTGCACTACTAAGCATTTTTGCTGCAATACTGCTCTTACATTTGACTTACGTAGAAGGCAGCAGGAACGTATTTAGTTGGTTAAAAAACTATCCCTACCCGTGTATAAGGCTGGAATTCTAGCCGTAACAAAGCAGCAACCCTAATACTCTAAAGAACACTTCGAGTTTCCAATTTCCACTTTTTCATGAATGGAATTATCAGTTTTCCTAAATTTGGAACTTGCCGCTGATATCTGTGGCAGATAAAATAATTCAAGCCTCATGTCAACTTTTAAGTTTAAATCTTAATCAAGATCTTGGCTCACATCTTGAGATTATTTCCTGTATTCGTACTAGCATAAACGTGTTTAGTAATAGACGAGGGCTCGACACCATACGATTTGTGTGGGTCGCTGCTGGTCTATTGTTAAACAACTTAAGGAAGACATGGTCTACGACAACAAAATTAAACAATTAAAATTAAGTGAGAGGGTGTTGCTTTACACAGCTTGAATAGTAACAGCGTTGTCAATTAAACTTGATATTAAATATACTCGTATAGAATACAATTTTAGAATCCAAAGTAATGGCTCTTTAGAAACATTTCCCTATTCTAACAAGCTATTAATTAGAATTTGGCTTCCTTCTCTTTTTGAATTTTCGTTTTTGTCTGTTAGATCTCTGACTACGAATGTGAATAGCTGGACGGACGGCTTCCATCCCCAATCAGCATAATTTTGGCGGGAAGAAGTGTAACAAACGCTCTCAATAACGTCACATCGAAATTGACTGAAGGAATTATCAATTTAGGCGCTAATCTCCACATGTACGTAAGTTGCCACACAAAAAACCATAAGCTTCTTTAGCAAGGTCGAAGGCGAACCTTTTTTTAATCAGCCTAGCCATCAGCGGATATATAAACAATTCAATGATAATAAGCCCCTGTCCATCGACACCCACATTTAAATTTGATTTGGGTAAATGCTGCACAACACACAATTAAAACACTCTATTGGTAGGCATATACCTAGCTATTTGAACAATGCAAAGAGAAATTGATAAAAACTTGTACTTTTCTCAGTTGTTTGATTGAATGAGCCTCTACAAAAACGTTTCAACAATAAATAGGACAGCGTTCGTTTGCCACAGTTGCAATAACCAGCCCGGATGCAATATCCAAATATTTGTGACTATTCAATCGTCCATTTAGTCATGTCTATATTTATAACTGTTTCTCAATTGAAATGCTGTGGCGGCTATTATTGCTTTTCGGCATGAGCGAACAAATAAAACTCAAATCTCTTAATTAGCTTTGCAAATCCTCAAACAGACGAAAGACAAACCTAACTGCGAACATGCCAATGGCCAAAAAGTGCGGCAAACGGCCACAAAGCCAATAAAGTCAAAGTCAAAAACAATTTAAGGTCGCACC